TCAGAAAACAATCCAATGGATTCAAGAGTTCCTCTGTAACCGGTCGCAATCGGTCAAACTTAACCACACAATTTCCAGAAAGTGCATGGTAAAATCCGGTGTCCCCCAGGGCTCCGTGCTCGGACCATTATTATTTTTGGTCTACATCAATGACATTGGATCTAATATTGTTTCTTCTCTACGCCTATTCGCAGATGATTGCGTTATATATAAGGAGATTACCGAACCGAATGACAGTAGCATCCTACAGTCAGATTTGTTAAAACTCACAGAGTGGTGCAATTTGTGGCAGATGCACATCAACGCTGAAAAAACCAAACATATTAGATTTACTTCCGTAGCCAACCCCTCATCATCCGTCAGATACATAGTCAATAGCACCGTAATTGAGACCGTTTCATCCACAAAATACCTCGGCGTTTTCTTTAGTTCCGACCTAACCTGGAACAGTCACATTGAATACATCACCAGCAAATCATCAAAAAAACTCGGTCTTTTGAAACGCCGCCTCAGATGCGCAAACTAGAAAACTAAACTTCACGCATATCAAGCTCTGATCAGGCCTTCACTAGAGTATGCGTCAACCATCTGGCATCCACACACGGCAATGTTATCTGATATGCTAGAATCGGTACAAAATAAGCAGCTCGGTTTATCACCTCCTGTCATTCTCGCCACCAAAGCGTAACATGTCTTAAGCGTTCTCTGAAATTTCCATTGCTTGCCACGCGCAGAAAGTTGTCCCGCCTATGTTTTTTCCATAGTTATATCATAGTGACTCATCATTTTCCCATTCATTCATTCACCCGGCTCCCTACATTCTGATCGCGTTGGTCATGCACATAAGGTCAATCCAATATATTCACGCACTAAGAAATACCAATTTTCACCTCTGCTGTTATCCATTAACGAGTGGAACGCGCTGCCCTCAAACATCGTCACTATTACAGAACCCTCCCTTTTCCAGTCTGCAGTACTAACTTACTTAGAAGTTTACAATAATTTGTAACCACCATTGACATTTAATGTGTAACGCATGCTTAGAGAATGTTTATTGCTATTTCTTGAAATATGTTTCCTGTTATGGTGGGCTGCTTACTGTGTTTTTTGCTTATTGTGTTATTAGTAATGTTGCTTGGGCTATCGGTCTGTTTGATTACTAGTATTACTCCCTGACATGTTGTTTTACTAATGCTATAGTAACCTCTTGTATGTATCCCCCCTTATGTAATGCCCTCCGGGCTCTTAAGGTATTTAAATAAATAAATAAAATACACGGTCAAGCCAGTGGCATGTTGGGAGCTTCTCATCCGGGCCTTCAGGTGTCGCCCCCGTCGAAATGACGACAGCGCACCGCCGGCAGCAGCTTATGAAATGGCATCTAAGCCTTCTTTCTTTTTCGCCAATTTTATTTAAGTTTGAAAATGTTATGCATAAAAAACTGTTTCTCATTTAACTTTAGACATTTGGAAGCATGAAGAGTGTGAACACATAGAAAATTGGAAAGTGACGCGCTTTAAGTGGCAGCGCGAACCAGAGAACAATTGTGTCGCACTGCTCGTGAAAGGCACCGGATATGTTGATATCAGTTACAAAAAGTTTGCCGAATGCTGTCAACAGGGTGTTGTGACATCTTAAGCTACCGAAGTGCTGGAATGTTAGCGATACATGTACCTTTTCTTACATTAGCGAAGGTTTTGTGCAGTTGGATCGATATATCAGCCAGCGCAAGACTGGTAGATTGCCAAAGAGGACTCAGCTTGAATTGAGGATGACGCAGCGAGCAGTGTAAAGGAACACGATAGGTGTAACTTTAAGAAACAAGAAGAAAGCAGAGTGGGTCAGGGAACAAACCGAAGTTAAGGATAGTTGAAATCAAGAAGAAGAAATAGACATTGGCCGTGCACATAGCACGTAGGCAGGATAACCGCTGGTCCTTAAGGGTAACTGAATGAAATCTCCGAGAATGCAAAATGCACGAATGGGAGACAGAAAGTTAGGGGGGCAGATGAGATTAGGAAGTTTACAGGTTTACAGTGGCAGCAGCAATGACAGGGCCAAGTTGACTGGCGGAACATGGGAGAGATCTTTGTCCTGCAGTAGATGTAGTGAGGCTTACGATGATGATGATGATGATCAGTTAGTACTGGACAGCTTCTGTGCTTTGGGCATCCACGTTGGGCTTATGCACTCAAACCTTGTCATAACAAAGTTGAAGGGGAGCCACAATTATTTCGTTATAACCATTATTTCGCTATATCGATTATAACAGTTTGTGGCAGTGTATGCTCAGATGGGCGCTTACCTATAAGCATGCAAAGAAGGAAACCGCCTCGCGGCCCTACGTACCACTACGCGACCACATGTGCGACAGAAAATAAACACAGTCGAATCTCAGTAATTCAAACACCCTTAATTTGAACCCTTTGGTTAATTGGAACTCACACTGAGGTCTCATCAAAGCTATGTGTATTCCATTGGGCAAAAATGCCCTGTAATTCGAACGCGCAAGCACTTGCAACGTTTAATTTGAACATACCGCGTTCAGCACCATGCCGAATCCCGCGGCGGCACCTCACAATGCTGCGCGCGAAGAAGGAAAAGAAGGAAAGGAAAGAAAGGACTGTGGCGTATTGTTTGCACTCTCTCAAATGCCGATCTGCGACGAGCCTGTGCCACGCTTCTCCCTTTTTCGTCTCTGCACGCAAAGATACTTTCAAGGCCACGCACGGAGAGATAGGAAAAAAAAAGAAAGCTGTTGCGGAGAGTTCTCCTTTCTTGTTGCAGAGGGTAGCAGCGGAGACGCAGTCGTTGCCGTCGTCTTTAAGGCGCATAAGTGAGAGGGAAACCGGTTTGCACCGTGGCGCCGCTTCTCGGTCATGTGACCCGCTGAACGCTTTTTCAATCCTCTCTGCTGGCTGTGTGAGGAGGACTGCTCTCTCAGCCGCGCTTGGCTTGGCTGTAAGGTCGCGCATGGCATGGCTGTAATAGCCGCGCTTAACGAGCGTGAAACTTCGCAGAACACACTACTTAACATACTTAACATACTTAACACACTACGGTCAGTTTTTTTTTTGATAGACTTTGATTGAATAATTAGGTTCGTTATATCCATTTACCAGTCAATTTTACTTTGATACAGTGAGGTTTAAAAAGGAGCTTTCAAGGGGAATTTCATTTACTTCATTATATTCATTATTCTGTGATATCCCGTTACGTTATAACGAGGTTTGAGTGTACATTCCTTGCTTTCACAGGAACGCTGATGCACGCGTATTGCTCACTGCTGTACATGATAAAACGTTACTTATGTGACCTTTATTTTGTGTGAACATCGATCGATCGACTTGCAATACAACGACTTATTGCTGCAAATTCGTGTAATCAGCGTTAAAATTTTGCTCGGCCTGTATGTAGTTTCACAACTTACTAAGCAAGTAGTTGTGAGCGTCCAGTAAGTAGTTTACTGCAATGTACTACATGGAAACAAGAGAAATCGAGAGAGGGGCTGCGGCGAGCGAGGGACAAACGTGACGCGGAAGGAGACGATGACGGTGTCGTCTGCTATGCAGAATGTCAGTGCCAGCCACAATATCAAAATGCCCTTGTGCTTTTGAAAACTATTTCATTTTATGTGCAGCTATAAATTTTGCAACCAATATTCTTAGTTGTTATTTGTTCAAAAAGGTTATTTGAGAGTAAAAAATAATAAATACTTTTTCAATTATAAGTAAAATAGTAATTTTTTAATCTTTTTACAGTTGCCACCAGAATCCAGATGGCGCTATCATCGCGTCTAATTTTCGTACCCATTTGCTTTATGGGGATGTCGCTCCCTTTGCACGGTGTCGAATGCTTTGCGGAAGTCAACAAAAAGTCCGAGGGTATATAGCTTTTTTTAAAAATTGCTTAGTATCTCATTTTTTTACATTAAGTAATGCTAGCTCGGTGGATTTACATTTTTGAAAGCCGAATTTGGCGTCACCTATGACTTTGTACTTTGCGAAAAATTTTTGTAATCTATAATAATAGTTCTTTCAAAAGCTTTTGACAGAATTGGTAGTATCGGTATGGGTTGGTAATTTGTAGTAAATAGCTATGACAGCCTCATTCATACTTATGACACCCTCTATTGTATTGCCTTTGTTGGCGAACCCTGTCAAACTCTGGTTTTAGGCTTGGGACACTTGTAAGGGTACACAGTTGCATTAATCTTAGCAAGAGGTATTGTTTGCATGGTTGCTTCATAATTAGGCTAATAGCATACAATTGAAGAAGTGTTAGTCGTGAAGAAGACAAAAGAAAGGCTGTGATTTTTTCAGAAGGTGAAGCTTTGATTGAGATAGCAGTGTCTTAGACAAGTTCACTAAGTAAGGTTCATAGTTTATAGTTTTAGTGTCTGTATCTATGGCAGTAAATATACAACCTTACTACCCAGTATAAAATCACGCACGTGCTAGCATACATCCACCTCAAGCTCCCCTTCCCCCCAACCTCCCAGAAAAAAAAGAATTGCTCTGTGCTACCTAATGAACAGTGGGGGCAGGAGCAGTGAATGCCTTGCATTGCCTCTTGCTTCACTCATCTCCAAAACATAAAGTAACGCAACTTACAACACCCTCTAAGCCACCTGGTATCAACAGGTTGCGTGCAATACAGGCATAAGAAGTTAGGAAGAGCCTTTTACTTAACAACATTTTTGACAAATCTGCATTGCTGAAAGACATTTCAGCACGAATACTTCTTGTGTTTTCTCACTCATGAACAATTGTTTGTAGCCAGCCTGTCCCTCCTGAAAGAGAGAAAGAATAAGAATAGAAGAAGAAAGGTTAACCAGGGCTGAGCCCATGGTAGGCACAGGGGAAGGGAGAGGAAAGTTACAGAGGAGCACAAAAAGGTCACTGTTTAAGCCGACATATAACGGTTTCATGTTTCACTCCTGAAAGTGTTTCATCTGCCAACGTCATAACGTTGCTTGCATCCTACTTTCTTTTCAATAGGAATCGGAGTACGTATCCCTACACCTGCATGACTGGATCGACCTCATCTTTGGCTACAAGCAGAAAGGCTCAGCAGCTGTTGAAGCTTTGAATGTTTTTTACTACGTCTCGTATGAAGGTTAGTCAGCACGCCTATAATAAGAATTTTAAAATTGATTGATTCACTGTTAGTTGAAATTGAATACCATTTCGGTTCTTGACAGGAGCTGTGGACCTTGACGCTATCAAAGACCCTGTTCAGCGTGAAGCTACTGAAGGAATCATCAACAACTTCGGCCAGACACCTTGTCAACTCCTAAAGGTCTGCTCACAGGATTTGTGTGTGCTGCTTATTGCAACATTAAACAAAACCGCCAGGCCTGCACATTCTCTGCACAAAATGCACAGCACAGTCACAGCAAAAGCTGGAAAAGCGACCTGCCTTTTTCAAACACTTTTGGGGCAAATACTACAAGCACACTTCCATAACATACACTGTGTCATAAAACATCATAATTTTTCTGCCGTGAGGAAGCATCCACTATGCCAATGCATAGTGGATGCAAGTCACCATTGTTCGGGAAAGCCTGGTATTATGTGCACCTTGTTAATCCTCTGACTGACAAGGATGAAGAATTATGCCTCAGGATATTGTGATGATTAGGGACATTCAACGACCCACTCATTATGCAATGCGCATGCAGTGATGCCTGGTCATTACCTTACTCTTCTAAAATGCTTTATTACACGTGTTAAAGCAATTCCTTACCTGACACGAAGCCTGCCTATGGTTAGTTTGCAACAGAGTTTTAAGCACTCGCATAGCTCAGTGGTAGATTACTGGGCTGTTACGCAGATGGCCCGGGTTCGATTTACAGTCTGTCCCGGTAATTTTTTTATAGGTATCTCATTTTTTTTGTTCTTATTTCGCACGATAGTGGTTATGGACACCTGTGGCGGCTAATAGGACACCAGAATTGGCCCTTGTTGTGATCTCATAACAGTTTTTGCTGTAAAAAAGTGCTACTATGTGAAGAAAAAAGGTTTGCAAGACTGCTTTGGTGATTAATTTGGTGTTGCACATTTAGATTGGGCTTTATAATGACATCTTGCTAACTGGACTTGCCAAAGTATTATTGTTTCTTTTTCAGTGAAAGCTGTTATAAAATCACAACAAGGGCCCATTTTGATCCGTAGTTGTCCCCCACCACTGACGGTGTTCATAACCGCTAATCGCTTGAAATAATAATAATAATAAAACATTCAAAACACATCCGGGTTGGAATTTGGTTTGAACCGGGGTCCTCTCCGTGGCAGCCCAGTGATCTACCACTGAGCTATGGTGGTGCTTGAAAGTCTCTTGCAAACTGACTCTATGCAGGCTTCATGTCGGCTAAGAAATCGTGTTAACATGTGTAATAAAGTGTCTTAGAACAGTAAAGCAACCACCAGGTGTCACACAATGTGAATGGCTTAACGATTGGGTCGTTAAAGGCTCCAACCCATTGCATAAGCTGCAGGCATAATTTTTCATTGTCTTCAGACACAGCATCAACAGAGAGCACTTGATGCTTTACAAGTGTGAATGGGATGTCATGCCTTTTCGAAGAATATTGAATGATGGCACATTAGACGCTTTCCCACTACACAAAGATTGTGATGATAATATATGGCGTAGTGGGTGCCATGCAGGTGTGCTTGTAGCAGTTCCCCACAGGGTGTTTAAAAAAGGCTCTAAAAAGGCAGCTCTTTCAGCTCTCGCTGCGATTGTGCTGGGCACTCTGTGCAGGCATGACGGCTTTTATGTTTCTGGCTTCAAAAAATTTAGAATAACACTCTGTTTTACAGTTTTAGAATTCAGGTCTGGCAACTATATGGTCCTTCTTTGAAAGGCTGGCTATCTGATTGTGTTCTAATTATATTTGAGCACTATAAATATTTGAATGAATATTACAGTATTCAAATTTGCTTTGTCACAAATCAATGTTATTCGAAATTTTGAAGTATTCGAACAAACATAACCGCATCTAAAAAACTTTACTTTGTAAAGGTTGTTTCACTGCAGCCTGGGAGTGCTACGCCATGGAAATGCATATCCAGGAAAATCCACACTGCTACGAAGCTTCACTTTAAGGCTAAACGAGCATGTTACCCTTACATCGATTAATCATTTTTTCAGTTTAAAACCTAGGCATGCGAGCTTATATGCTATAAGTATAGTAAATTTTTAAATGTAACTTATTTTATTGGTTATCACTTGCATTCTATTATTCAGTTGTTGCTTTCACTTCATTTCATACCAAAAAGAATGGCAATCACACATGCCTTGTATTATAAGATATTTTGATGGTTAGTTGGGCCATGAGAAATATGCCCAACCACTATTGCTTCAAGTTCGCTTCAAACATAATATACTTATTTGCACAGCTCTCGTTCAGGTGTGGGTCACCTGAAGAAAATTTGCAGGAAAAATGATGCCTTTTTCTTTGTGGACATATTAGAAGACTATTTTAGTCTTTACTGCTGCATTACGTCTAGGAAAGACAATGCCAAGAACAGACCATGTTAACGAGAAGTGCTAATAACTGGAGGCTGTCCCACTAAAGATTAATTTTGAGTGTTGACTGCTAACTGTGCATTTACAGAGTTGTCAGTTATGTGAAAATTCATAATAATTTCTGGATTGGAGTCGAATACAAATTATTTGGTACATGCTGCAAATAGAACAAAGTCTTTAATAATAATTAAATTGTGTTGAAATATACACAACCTTCTACAGTATTAATGTTCATATCCAAGCAGTACTATTTGAAAAGTAGCAGGTATGAATAATTATTTTGCATGTTAGAAAGTGTGTTATTAAGAGCATAAATAGAGAACTAAAATTAAAGGCTAGCTACAACAAATTTCGGCACTCTGCAAAAAAGTCAATATATAGGTATTCTAGCTAGAGGTAGTGCTGCCTGCCAAATTTTGCCTTCGAAATACAGAGGCTTACCTTAAAAAAAAGCTTGCCAATGACTGTGTTTTTTTTAGAATAAAACTAGAAAAAAAAAACGATGCTATTACGGCTAACGGGAAGTGATGTGAATGACAGAAAAATTGTCTGCTCCACGCTCCTTGAGCACGCACATCGCGGACGCGTCCCTTGGTGTGTGTGTGTTTTTTCTATGTTAACATTAATAAAGCTGCGTGAACATGCCACTTATTGAATGCTGGTCCGGGCTTCCCACTGGTGGGTTTGCAGTGTCTGACCCCCGTATTCAGAAACGCTGCTTGTCTTGAAACTGACTTGCCATCGACTTCGATGTAGTACAAATGCGTTTCGAACTCACTGTCTTTAGACGGTGCCACGGTAGCACAAACGCACACATGCGTTTCAAACGCGCTGCATTGAGTCAACTGCTCGCGAACGAGCATCACGCAGGAAAGAGCGATTCAGTGGCATGGAGGATTGCTCACGAAGAGCGACGCGGAGACATTCTGTAGTAATCGTCATATCCAGTTCTGTCCGATTTGCCTAAGCACACTGCTAGAGCTCCGCATCGTCTGTTTGCTGGCAATTGGAGCACCAATTATAAATTAAATATGTGACTGTAAGATTTTTCACTGTCACTATTGTAGCTTACCATATATATACTACGTATTTATGGCCATTTTCGCCCAATAAAGTTTTGTTACAGTTGGTCTTTAAGTGGATCACACAGTCGGAATACTCGGGAAAATGAATATGTGGTTGTGCATTACTGTCCGAATGACATTTTAAGAGTCTTTGAAGCCAGTAATCATCTGTGCATACTATCAAAAGTAACCAGGAAATGCTGTTTGTCTCCGGCGATGGCAAAACAGAAAAACATATTACAGTGAAAGCTGTTATGAGAGCACGACAAGGGTCATATGCAGCGCCGTAGTTGTCTATCACTGCTGCCGGTGTTCGTAACCACTATCGCAAGGAATTAAAAAAAAAACTCAGTAAATAAAAAATACCAAGGACCCAGTGGGATTCGAACCTAGGTCCCCTGCGTGCCAGCCCAGTATCCTGTCACATAGCCACGCCAGGGCTTGATATTTCACTGCAAACTGGCGTTAGGTAGGCTTGGCGTTGGGAAAGTAATCACGTTAATATGTGTAATAGAGCGCTTTAGAATAGCAAAGAACAACCAGGCATCACACAATGCGAATTGCAAACCGAAGGGATGGTCGAATGCTGTAGCCCATTACAAAAGCCGCAGGCATAATTCTTCATCATCGTCAGCCACAGCGTAAGAAAATTAATCAAATTCATTTCAAGTGTGTAGTGGGTGCCACACTCCTCTGAAGAATGACTAAGGATGGCATAGGGAATGTCTCCCTACTACACAAGTGTTATGATGATTTATGGCATAGTCGGTGTCCTGCCGGTGTCTTTGTAGGAGATACCCAAAGAAAGGCGCTGAAAGGCCGCTCTTTCAGTTTTCGGTGGGACCGTGCTGCACGTTCTGCGCAGGCCTGGCAATTTTTTCCCCATTTAGAGGGCTCACGTCAAAAGGTGCCTCATAAATGTTACTGTAAAAGCATGTTAAAATGTGATTTATAGTGCACTGATAGGTGCTGCATTTATAAATAGCACTGAAACCTAACCTGGGCCCAATCCCTATCTGAACAAAAGTTGTGTGAGAATGATCTCCATTTAAGCAACACTGTGTCCATGATCAATGCACTTTTGGTTTAATGACGTGACTGATAATGCAGTGTTGACAACGTTTGGTGTTCAATATTTCTTTTAAGAATAGTACCTGAATTTGAGAATAGTGAGTACAGTCGAGCCCACCTATAACGGCCCCACTTAAAATGAACTTTCGCGTAAAACGAACAATATCCGCATGACTGTGAAAATATACATTGTTTCAATTACACAAAATCGCACTTACAACGAACGTCTCTGAGCGCTGCCGATCTGTTACAGCGAACGGAGTCAGTGCTCTGCTGACTTCCCGGGAAACCACTTTCGACCACTGATGAGGCATCGGCGAGGTGCCCATAGATTATTATCGTTGAACGCCGACCCTGCCTCTGCGCCCCTCTAATTGCTGCTTTCCCCGACCGCTCTTTGTTACGCACACTTCAGTCCTTTGTCCCCCCCACTGCTCTGAGCACCCCCCATCGCCAGACGCGGCCCATGTTTTCATACTGCCACACATCTTTCGAAGACTGGTCGGCCATCTCCCCTGTTTTTGATCGCTGGTACTGTCATTGACGTCGCCAGCCTGGAGTGACCCGACCATTTGCCAACATCGTCTATATCCGATTGTCTGCGTCTTGTCTTATTGTATTGTTCTAGTGCAGATGTGTGCTCTACCCCACCCACTCTGACAATTCGTAATTCTTTTCGTGTTTAGGACCTGTTCTCACTCACTTCGCGCTCGGCTCAGCATGCCCTCCTCACGCGTGTGGAAGCGTAAAAATGGCTGTTAATTTGCGCGAGACGATTCGCGAAATATTGAAATCAGTGAGGCCACGCAAGCCTGCCGGCGCAACAAAACGATTCTTTGACCACTGCTGCCGTTTCTTCGAACACCGCCGTGCGCACCGTTCCAGGCGGCAGTGCTTAAACCTCTGCGCGCGCAAGCACTCTTTCTGTTTTTTCTACGCATGAGTTGCACGTTTCGCGGATATTTCAAGCAAGCTGCTCGACCTGCCTCCTTCCCGCGTGTTTTGGTTTTCAAGGTCGCCTTCCCGCCGTATCCTCCCCTCTCTTCCCTCTATCGCAACTCCTTGCTCTTCTCTCGGCTCTCCTCTCTTGACACAACTCTTTCGCCGATCTCCACCACTCCACAATGCCAGCCACACGCTGACTCGAATTCGGAAGTTTTGTTTTCCGACTAGAAACGGGCCCTGAGCTGTACCACGAATTCTGGCATGTGTGTTGCGTGTGCGTGTCTTGCTCGCTGTCGGTGTGCGTGTGTGGTCAGGATGGCGGACGGGAGACGTTGCACACGTTTTCCTGCCGCCTAACAAAATGTCGAAAATGTGACCGCTTGGCTTGGGCGTAATCCGCGCGTTAGGCGCTGCGTTGTGGAGCGCTTGCTATTGACCACCTGGCAGCCAACGTGCCGCTTCGGGCGTCCCGGTATTCAGCTATGAAGATAGTGAATATTTAGTGGGCGGTGGTAATGGCTGCATGCTCGTGAAACTGTTTTCGCGAGAATTCATCGACGTTGGGCCCGATTCTAAGCTTGAAGCTTCCGAACAGGACGGCTCTGGCGGAAATTTGTGGCAGCACGTTGTTCACTCCGACGTGTGAGCGGGTGGGACATCTGTTGCGATGGTTTAATTACGGCCGATGATGATGCCGACACTGCGGAATCGTGCACGGATTAGGGCATTGTGAATGAAGTACGCGGCAATTTGGAGGAATCGGATTGCAAGAACGACGAGATTTTGGAGCCAGTGCCTCACGCAGCTTATGCCATGGGCCTCGGTGAAGAGCAAGGTGCCATTTGAAATAAACTCGAGATTGTCGTTATCGCTTGTGCTCTTCGAAACACCTGCATCACGGACTTTTTTGGGCAAAAAATTTTTTGTTTTCACTTGCAACTTTTTAAAAGCTGTGTTTCATTTACTACGAACTTCGGTATACAGCAAACGGATGCCGCGTCAGGCTCAGGTTTGTTATAAGCGGGCTCGACTCTATTTTGGATAGAGGACCAAATTAAATTGCAGCTATTTGTTGTTCTCTATTTTATAATAGTATTTACACACCCCTGTGATAATGTAGTGTGCTGCACATCACACATTATTCAACGTTTTAATGATGTCATGTTTTTGTGAAGGCTGTTGAACTTGGCGATTCAAAGTAAAAACAATCTGCTCTCTTTCAGGAACCTCACCCAAGAAGGCTCTCTTATGAGGGAGCTATGCTGCGAATGACGAAGTCTGACACAAAGCCTCCAAACCTCTTCCTGTTCCTGCAAAACCTTAAGGCCTATGTAGTGGATGTAAGCATTTTGCTGATTCATAATTAAACTATGCTATTAGTTCTGCAGTATGTTAACATATGTCATATTTTCTTGCATATAGCCCGTTCCTGCATATAGCTCACACCCCTAATTTTAACTCTACAAAAAAGAAAAAAAATATCTATATAACCTTTGCCTATGACCGGCTCTCCCACTTTTTAAGCACATTTTTCTCGTTTTTGGTGCATATTGATTGCGAGGAAATACAGTGTCTGCACATCTCAAGTGTTGAGAATACATGGGACAAAACCTGTTTGCTGACGACAGGTCAAAAACTGTAAATGCACATATTTAGTCATTGGTTGTTAACGAGCCAACTTACTCAGTTATCACTAGGCAGATCATAACATGCCATGCGAGCACAGACACTGAAGTTATTGCCATTGCCTGTAACTTTTGCAATTCTGAGTGGAACTCGCTGAAAATGATCGGTTCTATGGCCAAGACTTTTAATAGCACATAAGCCCATAACATTGCTTGTATTAGTGCGGTACATAATAAGGAAATACGGTAAAGATGAAAAAAGGGTGCCTACCTTTTTTTTTCGCCTGTGTCATTTTTGCTTCATATATGTACCACTGGAATACAGGCTAGTTCTAATAACAGCTGTTCTAAAACTGGGCCAGATGAAAAAGGAATTTCTGTGCCTTTTGCACTCCAGTTTCCTAATTACATCTACAGATGGCGGGAACGCCTCACTCGCAGACTGAAGTGGTAACTCCCGACTGAAACTGGGAAGCGCGGCTCAACATGATGAAGGCGTACCATATAGTCTAGAACAAGTGGCCCTCTACAGTGAAAGATAATTCGTCAAGATTTGGAGAAGGTGCCCTTGCTCAGTCTTGGGTCAAAATTTAAGATGGCCATGGAAGAGCTGCATGTGAATCCAGTGAAATGCTTTATGGAATATGCATGCATTCACTGTCATTATTTGCCCACGTTGGGTGATTGAAAATAGGGAATGAAACAAGGAAATTGGAGGGAGGGCAAGGAGGGCTTGCTCAGTTAGTGGTGCATACTTCAAATATCTGAAAAGAGAGAGCGGATCACTTCCTCGAGTAAGGGCACTTTCTTGGGATTTTACTATAAAGTTGTCTCACAAAAACCAGTCCCTTCACACACCTATAGATGGTATAACTGTGTTGGTTGCAGATGAAGCAGCAGCCACACATAGAAACTGGGAAGCAGGAAACACCGACACCAAATCACAAAATCGTAGAAATTAACTAAGGAAACGCAGGAGAAACATAGCTCTGCTATCTGTGCCAATTTTGCACTTGACGGAACTGCAGTAATATTTTGTTTTGTAGCAGTGTCTCGTAATAAAGTACTGCCTAATCTGTTCATGTTCTAACTTTCTGTTTTCACCGCAGGCTCCGTTGAGCTGTCCAATCGTGCATGTCAACATTCCTCGCTCCCCAGCACGTTCTTTTATGCAACATGGCCTCATGGATACCTTGGTCACCGTGGGTTGCGATGGCTCGCTCGGTGTGCATGGCTGGCTGCCCTACGACAGAACTCGGTCTTATCCCAATTATTTCACCTTTGAACGGGATCCAAACATACAAAACCCCAAGTAAGACTAAGGAAGTTCTTTACAAGACTTTTTTTTTATTAAAAAAAAGATTGCTTTGCATCTTGTTGTGACAAATGTCTTTCCTTGTAGTAACTTGAACATCGAGTAGCTGATTCCGCTTATATTAATAAGCGGATTTGGGCTTCTTTTCTCACCGAGTCACTTGTAGCAGCAACTTGTCACACTCTTTAGGCTTATTGGTATTTTTCCAGCCAAAATAGTTATCTTAGGAATCATCACGTTCACCATTAGAGCGTTTGTTGATGACTTTCGGCTTGTGGAAATAGCGAATTTTAGGTTCGAAGCGAATAGTGATCTTGGTTGAATAATTTTGAATCGAACTCGAACAGTGTATATGACTTAAAAAAATATGGGCATATGTATTATGACCTAACTAACCTGCACAATATCTTTTTTTAATTTAGGTAAGGTTTCTGTGCATTTGCCCCCCTTTTTTTTTCATTGAAAGGAAGTCGGAAAAACTTTGAGTAGCAGCGGCATCTGATTTTCGATACGATGCGATTGGTAACCTGTAGAATACGTAACATTTAAAAATTTATTATACTTAGAGCATATAAGTCATCATAACAAGCTTTTAGGTTAAAAAGTGATGAATCAATTTGAGAATAATATGTTCATCTAAAAGGGCCCTGCAACATTTTTTCAAGTAGCCATGGAATGGATTCACTGAATAAGCTTATTGCCTCATGAGTTCACTGCTAGAATTTCTTAGAATTCATCCAGTATGAGCAAAGTTGCTAAGATTTAGCACACACAGCAATTCTAAGTTCACTCTTCTCGTCCCAGCAAAAGCGTTGGAAGCTAAGCGGGGTAGGATGCTACGGGGTAAGAAAATATGCAATATGTGCCTTGTGACCTTGAGCACTTTTTCTCTCTATCTCTCTCTCTTTTTTCCGAATACGCGGCTTTTTGGCGGGATCGTGCACATACGCCTGTACAAGTGGCGGCCTCTCGCAATGGCTCCAGTAACGATCGAGCGCACTATACTCAAATTAGCCCATAGCTGATACGATGCCTGTGACCGAGTTATTTTTGAGCCTGTGGTGTCATTTGCCCAGAGAAAAGAGCAGTTCTTAGCTGACTTTGAGAATTTATTGTGAATCGTAGGCTACGAGCTGTGCTATAATATTTGGCTCGCGTGTTCTCGGTAGCCTCGACCACTGATCAGTAGCGTTTTCTGGCCATGCTCAACAAGGGTTGCATGGTCAAAGTGGGGCTTTGCGGCAGAGCAGATGTCTCTTGGACAGGTGCTTTCACGGCTTAGTATTTCTACACGGCAGTGAAACCATCTTCACAGGTGGTTTACCTGCGGATTAATATACACCTATTCATTCATTGCGAATACTTCGGAATTTTTAATAATTTAAACTTGAATCAAAGTAAATTCGAATACTCTATAATCGTTCGAATATTCATATCATTCTAATATTCGCACAAGCCTACTTTACACATAGGTTAGAGGAATCAACTAGTAATGTTTATTACACAATGGCAAACATGCATTCAACAGAATGGAGACTACCTTTGAAACACTTTTAAATGTTACTTAATGTGCTTTCATATATAGGTATGCATATTTTCTCTGTGAAAAATACTTTAACTGATTTTTTTTACTCACCTTTGTATATGAGTGACATTTTTTATATAATTAAAAGTATTTTCAAGTATCGAAACTTTTGCTAAATTTCTGCTTCTCTTGGGCTTCTTGAGAAAGCTGTGCCACTTTTTTGTGGTTTATTTTATTATGGTTATTTGCTTATTAGCTTGCTTGCCTTTTGCAACTCTGCTTGAAGAGGACGTATTACAGCGAAAGCTGTTATGAGATCACAACTCGGTTCATGCGCAGTTGTCCGCCGGCACCGCCGGTGTCCGTAACCACATCGCGAGAATTTAGAAAAAAAAACCTAGCACCAATCACACAGTGAGGCTCGAACTCGAGTCCACTGCGTGCCAGCTCAGTATTCTGCCACTGAGCTGCGCCGGTGTTTGTGACTTGTTGGCAAACTTGCATTAAGCAGGCTTGATATTGGGAAAGTAATTACGTTAATACAACTTATAAAGCATTTTAAAACAGCGAAAGAACAACCAGTCATCGCACAATGCGAATAGCATAATGAGTGGGCCGTCCAATGCTCCAACCTATCACAAAAGCTTATTCTTGTTCCCCTATGAACTGTGGCGCATGCCCACTTCAGCCATAATTCCTCATCGTCGTCAGCCACTTCATGAACAATTGGCACAAAATTCCTTGCAAATGTTTAGCGAATGTCACGCTTCTCAGGAGAATGACTGAAAATAGCTTAGCGAATGCCAGCCTACTACCCCCAAAAAATTATTATTAATGCCTTAGTGGGTACCAAGCAAGTGTGCTTGCAGCAGTTACCCAATGAGGGTTCTGAAAAGGCTCCGAAGGGCCGCTCTTCTAGCTTTCACTGTGACTGTGCTGTGCCTTCTGCACAGGCCTGGTTTTTTTTTTTTTTTTTTTTTTACTTCAGGCTCTTAACTCAAGCTAAGTTATTGAATCATTTGTTAGCAAAGGCAGTTATATCTACAACTAAACAGTACACATATGTTACATTCGTGGTAGATACTGTTCATTACTGCAACAAGGCAGTATTGGAATGAGTACTGAATAACTCAGCTCATGTAATTTAAGTGCAGTAGTATCCCAGCAAAAGAACCAACTTTATTTTTACTCTTTCATTTTGGCAGCAAAACTGAATACAAAATTTACAATGGAATTGACAAAACAATCCCAGTGATGTTATGGGATGTGTTATTGTTGTTTCAAATATGTTTTGTACTCTATGCTTTGCTATCTTCTGGCAGATTTTTCGAGCAGTTGGCAAGATTGTTGCTGTGAATGTAGACAACCATGTTCATCTACTGTCTGTCTGTTTATTAAGCTAGTAAAGATGGACTTCACGAAATTTCGAACTGGCCTATTTAGTTTTTGCTCAACATAGAAAACAATATATTAGGCAATACAATGGCATGTGCATATTGATAATATAAGGATTCTTTCAGGGACAATCTGTACCTCTTGAAAAGCTTATCATTCATGATGAGCTGGTCTCGTGACAACACAGTGCAACACCGCTCTCGCTCCTGACTAAAATGCAAAGAGGAACAGCATTAGAACAGAATTTTTACACAGTTCAGCCCCAGTACAGATATACTGTCCTGTGATATGAATTTATGATACCGTTGTCTGCATTGTTTGTCATGTTGGCTAAATCAATCATAATTTATCACTTGGCCTATTTAGTGGTCACTTGTGGTCATGCACTAGTTCTGCCAATCCTACTCACTCATTTCAGACTAATGCTGTACTCTGTGAGTCACATTGTCTACAAGTGTGCAGATCTTTCTCTGTGTTTTTTCTTCATTCTTGAGCACTCAAGTACTAGTTTTATGTGGTTTATTGAGAGCCACTGGAACGTAGCACACACAACTGCCTAGCAGCAGTGTCCACATGGTGCTTGTTTTGTTGTGTCAATGTTAATTAATTTGTTATTGGCTTTTCGATAATCAGGTATCTTACTGTACAACCCTTTTCAGAAGTGCCAAGAAGTTGGCAGGAGTGTTCCAGCCGGGGGCCAAAGTGCACAGCCGCCTGTTTGTGCTAAGCTCGGATGGCAAGTTCCTCGTTTCCGGAGGCCATTGGGACAACAGTGTGCGTGCCTACAGCCTATTGCGTTCAAAGCAAGTGGCCCATGTGATTCTGCACAAAGGTGGGTTATAGATACACCCACTGTACAGCCATATTTCACCACTGCAGTTTTGCAGTATGTAGTGCTGCTCATCTGTAATGTTGGCATACTATGTGTCTATTGAATTTTAAAATTGCTTCCTCAGACATAGGAGCAACTGAAAATACAGCTTCTGACTTCAGCAAAGCAGCTCAGAAAACTAAAAAAAAAGAAATTAATTGAAGAGACATCATTTTTATAACGCTAGATTGAGATTTGGCTCACACAAAGGTTTCCAATTTAATGTTTCTTTTTGTCAGGAACATAGTCATTTGGTGCACAACTGCTGTGTTGTGCATGAGTGATTATATGATTATATGCTGATTTACATTTGATTTGACTTCTTATAAACATACTATGTTTATTTATTTATTTATTTCTGAACTACTGCTAGCCTAAAGAAGCTGTGTGATTTGCTTTGTTACAGGTTGAACGAAATAATCTTTTTCTGTTCCTACTTTATTATGCTCAATTCGGATAGGTACCCTAGCCATTTTGTGTGACTTCGCAGTTCCAGGGATTCCAGTTCAACCCTTTCCACTAGCGTACTTACCGATGTCCGCAAGTTGTACATATTAAAATAAAGCGTACTGATTTTATTTGAACACTTATAAGTAGGCAATGTTCCTTTTCATGTGAGTGTCCCATACTGTCTATGTGTATTCGATAATTGGTCAGATAAGCATTTTATGGGCTAATAGCTTAATATCTTAAGGAGCTTGGAGCAAAGTTCGTCCTAATTATCCTAGTTAACTTAGTGCTTTTTTTCTTTATGTAAGAAACGTGCTCATTCCACTGAAGATCCGATGCGAGTATGACACCTAGGTATTTAAAATATTTGACTTCGAATAAGATGCTTCCATTTAAGCTGTAGCTGAGTTGTAGCATTGAGTTCTTTCAAGTTATTCATATGAGAGCTGTCTGTTGGGGGTTAATTTTCATTTGCCGGGCTTTGTATCATTTTTAACATGTTGAAAAGCTTATTTTAGTTAGATGTGGTCATGAAGGTTGTCAATTTTGTGATAAATTACCCAATCATCTGTGAATAGTTTAATTTTGACTCGTACTTGATCAATATGTCATTTATAAAAATTAGAAAGAATAACGGCCCCTACACAGATCTTTGTGGAACGCCCGATTAGTTAAGATGTCAAATAGCTATAGTCCTAAGGCGTTTCAATTGAAACAAGTTAGTTGTAATGGGGTTAGTTGTTCATGTTACTTTTGTGTTACATGACATCTGGCTTGGGTGTCAATAAACCAAAACATAAATCGTGAGAAGCTTGAATCAGAGATCGGGAAACAGAAAATTTAAAGTTTTAACTTGAAGCAAATAGCAGTTGTGTCAAATAATTTCAAATCTAATAGCTTGATTGGTACATATCACATCTTATAAAAAATGACCATTTTCATTATGGTTCAACAAACTTGCACACTATTTTTAAGAATTGGAACTAGGTGTGTGCAAACCTGAAAAATTTGGTGCTAAGTGGAAGCCAATTTGTGTAGTGGCAGAATTTGAATAGTGATATTGTGGAAGTTATAAAATTTGAAATATGTTACATTCTAAAATTTTGTACAGTTATCACATATAAGCTTGCGCGAGACGCTTTTAAGCTAATTTAACCTACCAAAATGAACTTGCAGCAGGGCAGTTTTTCTTTTAATAGGTGGTTTTTCTGTATGGCAGTCCCACATTGCAGTGAAACCACCATTTCAGGAAGTTCACATCACTCGCATGCCGGCATATAGGCATTTATTTGTTCATTTTGAATACTACGAAATTTTTAATTCTTGAATACTGAAAATTTTGTTTTATTAACAGAAGCACTCGAATAGTGTTCCCCATCTCTAGCTTGAACGAATATGAGTCATCTTTGTCTGATATTTATTTGCAGAGCTTTGGGTTAAATCCTGTCTATAAACATTTTCTAGAACCGATTTTGTTAGAGAAACAGAGTGCTGCCTCATTGTGTTATTTGTGTTGTCCTCCCCGTGTGTAGATGTGGTCACAAGCCTTGCTACGGACACCTGTGGAATGTACCTCATGACTGGCTCTCGTGATACAACGTGCATCATCTGGGAGTTGAACCAATTGGTGAGCTATAAACATTGTTTTGTGCTGTTTTGTTCTGTTCTGAACTGCGTGCTAGGGCACCCAAGCAGCTATATCTTACAGGCTACAATGTTGTCTGGATGAGGCTATATAGCATTTGCTAAAATAGCAGGGTAGCTTTTGTGTTCTTAGAGATTTTGCTTTGAGCAGCTTCGGCCATAACTTGTGAAGAAACTAGAGGTACACTTGTGTAAGAATACATCTGGTTATACTCATTGACAACTTATTTTGTTTGACATTGAATCGAAGGCTACGGAAGGGGCACATTTGTGTTGCTTCAAAAGTTGTGTGGCAGCTTGCGACTGATTTTGATTTTGCTTGCTGGCATTGTAAACACATTTAGTAAATTATGCGAACAGAAAATGACAATCGGAGAAAAATTTTTTTGTTCGTTGTATATTGTCACGATGCAGAAACAGCAGAAGTCAGATTTAGGAGAGCTCACTTTTAATTATATGCAAGGCACTGTCAAAAAGCACCGGGTAAGAGCTTCGTCTTCCTTTCTTGCTGCGCGAGCTCTTCTCTGCAAGTTGAATGCAGCAATATTTTAGTGCCATCTTATAAGTACATATTTTTTTTTCAAATTAAACCACATGTTTGAGGCCGCACACTAAACTGCCATGTCATAAATGCCATGTTTACCTCGGAAAACTGGTGTGCTGAAAAGCCAGTGCTCTCCAAAAAGTGGAAAGAAAGAGAAGGCATTCCTGCAAAGTTAACGATAACTCTATTTTAATCACAACTTCCCATAGCTTCATAATACAGTGAAACTCTGATTACACGTCCCCCGGTTTCGTGACGACCCACATTTTACAACCAATCGGTTCGGCCCCGGCAAAATCCCCATAAAAGTAATGCGTTAAAAATCTTGGTTATACGACAGTTTTACGCCGACCCTGCATCTTACGACGACTCTTAGATTCCGTCCGAAAAATAAAAAAACACCTTTACTCGAATCAAACATCGTCCAAATATACACGAGAGCAAAATATGAACTAGCGCTCCCCTAGGTTGACAATTAGAAAAGTAAAGAGACGGACATCTTAGAACGGAAAATTTATTGTCCTAAAAGTTCATGCACTTCTTCATACGCCTCAGTCACATGCGTACGTATTCGGAATCATTATCTAGTAAAGCTCTATCCACACAGAGTAGCTTCAGCCGGCCGAAAAGCTGGTATTTTCATGTTTTCAGTTCGTTGAAACTTCTTCTAAAGCTGATGTCCTGCCTTTGTCGCACTCACAGTCACACGATTGCAGTTTTCACCGTGAAAAAATACTTTCACTTGACGTCAGCGTTCATAATAACAGCGAGACATCACTAGTTGCACTTCACAAGCCAACAAATTACAACATGCCCAGCTCAGTCACACATGAAGGCATTCTACACAAACTCATGGTACATCGCAATTATGTGATAGCGATGACAAACTCTTCTGACAGGCGGCTGGAAACGCGGTTTCAGTTTCATTTTCACAGCGCAGGCAATTTTCGTAATTTGTTTATTGGTAGGAAAATGCGCATTGGCTTCAGTTTTCTTTTAAGTAGAGAATGACAATTCGCTCGCACTTCCTCTAATTAAGTAATGCTGGCATTAGCTGCCACTGGCACAAATAATTGAATACACCTTCCTTGCAGAGGCACAAGGTCGTGCCGTTAGCATATTCAAGTGGTTTGTACTCGTTTTATGGACTAGACTAAGTGTCACTGCCTATAATCTTAGCTTTTCAATTATACGACATTCGGATTATATGATGGTTTTGCGTGGTCCCCCGAAGGTCGTATAATCAGGACTCTATTGTAAATAAAATAGCATTTACTCAGCAAAACAAATCAGAAAATTTTCAGTAAACTTATTATTTTTTGGCGCAATAGCAGGCATACATTTCGATTTGGTATCATTCACAGTGCTGTCAAGAAAAGGTGTTGCCCAGTAAAGTTTTCATTAAATTGAACAAAAGTGAAGCTTCTTGTCATTCACAGTGTCATCTCCATGACAGTATTGTCGCAAAGCATTAGCCATAACTTGGAAGAAGGTTCTGTAGCAGTTGTTGCCTGTGTTGGGGCAGGGAAGGGTTGAGGTCGAATGTCGGCTCCGAGCTATGGGGCTTTGTGGGCACTGCTGTCGGGTCTGAAAGGGCGAGGGTGTTGCTCACTTCGCAATTTTTTTAGCGGACAGCAATGGTTGCACCTTTTATCCGATGACCGTACTTTTGGTCGAAGTTACCGTATTGCTTGTGTAGTGAAAGCACTCACATAATAAATGCACTCCCAAGTTCAGTCATGAAACTTCGGATTTTTTTTCCCCTCGCGCAATAAACGCACCCCCTACATTCATCCGCTGCAGTCCCACAAACCAACACCTGATGCCTCCTCCCCTGTTGGATCTCGGTGTTTTATTACTTTGTCGACCCCCCCTCAACTACCTCGGTTCGGTCCTTTCCCCCCTTTCTTTCTATCTGTGCCCCCCCCCTCCCCCCCACCCACGTCCCTTCCCGGTCTTATCTGTTCGCCACAGGAGGGTTCATGTAGAGAGGTGCTTATTTTCGAAAATAGTTGTAAAGCACAGAATAAACGTGGTCAAGCGTAGTTCCAGGAAATCCTGCGAAATAAGAATGACAGCATGCATAAGCCACTAGAAAGGTTACTGGCATTACTATCAATACTTAGCATTGCCGGATGGAAAGGCACTGCCATGCTCAGAGCCTTTCAGATAAAAAAAATACTGCTTTTTAACTACTGCAGCTAGGATAACTACAAAGGGTAAGCTTTCTGTCGCGCAGGAAAAAACTGGATCAAAAAAAAAATTAGTTGTCGGTCCCTTTAAGGAGAGACCTTCCTCGTGACGGTACCGCGTTGCTGCGGCTCTGCGATGTGTACAGTATAGATGATGGTGATGATGAACGACTGGACGGGTACATGGCGTGGTGTAAGTAGTCTTCGATTGTGGAAGGTGGCTGCCCAGGCCGTGGCCGCAGTGCCCCAGAGGAGAAGCCATACAGTCCCTTCAACCTGTAGGGGCGGTGTGGAAAAATGTGGTTGGCCTCACCGTAATGAAAGCACGGGGGACGGTCATCTAGCGTTCTCCAGGTATCGCATTTTTTGGGGCTCTGGCATCGCTTGTACGGAGGGCGGTGGAGAAAAGGAGGATGATTGTTTTGCACTGCTTAGTCCCAGCGAGGGGAGCTGTGTGTGGCCTCGACGAGGTGGGCTACTGTTATGGCTTCAGCCTCTATTCCAGTCGTTGATGCAGAGCCAGGTGCCTGCTGGACTTCTTCACATACCACGTTCAAGAGAGATGCTGCTTGAGGGCGGGGGGGGGGGGTGGAGGAGCTGGAGGCTGGAAAGGAGACGGCAGCAGCCACATAGTTCCTCTCGAACTACTTCACGAATAACTTCCCACAACCCGTGGACGATTGACGCGGAAGTGGGTGGCTTACTGCAGATCAGTTTTGAGTAAAGCTAGTTTAGCTTAAGTGGATCGTTGTATTGCCGAGTTCTGGTGTCTGAAATTCTTTCAGTGGTGTGTGGGCTTCTTGGGCGAATTGAGCAACTGTTTTGGGTGATTTCGTACTAAGCTTTGGGAAAAGCGACTCTTTCACTCCCCTCATTAAGTACCCGACCTTTTTGTCTTCTGTCATCTTTTGATGTGCTTGCCGAAATAGACTTTTCGTTTCTTTGGCGTACATGTTTACAGTTTCATTGGGTTCACGGGCCCTTGACACAAGGCGAAGCTGAGCCCTTTTTTTATGCGTAATGCTGGTGAAAGTCCTAAGAACCTCATTCATAGGATATTCCCTAGTGCTTAATGTGGTCACACTGCTTTCTGTACCACGTTTTTGTGGCCCCGTCCAAAGAAAAGTAAACGTATTGCAACTTTATTTCTTCATCCCACCTGTTGATGGTAGCCACCCACTTGAATTGGTCTAGCCATTCTTCCGAGTCATCTACGGCGTAACCGTGGAAAGTTGGAGGAACGTGGGGCTGTTGCAAAATGACAGGGATGAATGTCAGTGCATCGCTCATAGCGGATCTGAAAGCCTCTTTTCATGATCACTGGAATCAGGTAGCAGGTCCAGCTCAGTCAGGTAGCAAGTTTCGGAGACTGGCGGCTGCTTCGAGTATCTGTGCCCTTAGCATCCTTGTTCTCTGTGGTGGCTGTTGCAGGATTGCTCTTGTGCATACCCCATAGCTCATATTCACACGAGCCACTCTGGTTATGTCGAGTTCATTGTGCTGTGTTCAAGTAATGGAATGTTCTCATTTTCTTTGTGCAGGGATCTGGGAGTTTCCTTCCCAACAAGCCATTTCAGATTCTGTGTGGACATGACAGCGAAGTTACTTGCGTAGCGGTAATCACAGAACTTGATATGGCTCTCTCTGGATCAAAAGTAAGTTGGTAAACAACGGTGTTAGGCATCATTTTCAACTATTCAAGTTTAGTGAAATAGACTCCCATTTTCTGTGTCATCTTCTTTTATTTCCTTGCTTTGGGGTGATACTGCTTTGTAGCTGAGCCTACACAAGGCTGTGGGTATTACAATCACAATACATCATTACTTTATTTTGCATGTTTACATTTGTTAAGTTACATTGAATGACTCCAGATAGCAGGGATGAAAGTGCTGCACCGACAGCGCCAGGCTGCGCATAAACGGCAATAATTGTCGATTGGAAGTGTAAATCACCAAGTCTAGGCAATGATTATCGTCCACCGAGCAACACTGAGCGTTGGCTACACGAAGGATGCGGCTGTATCTATACCAGCATAGGCAATCACATTGTAATTCGGTTCATTCATGGGGCTTGCTAGTGCTCATCTCATTGCTGTTATCACCCTGGTTTCCTCCTGAAAAGTGGTGGCACCTACATGAGTGACTGTTAACTATCTATTAATACAATGAAACCTCAATAATTTGTACCAGGTGAGACTACAGCACAGTCGTGCACTAAATGGCAGTCGTTTACAAGTACTACAAATGTTCATCGCACAAATAAAATATATCCAGTACCACAGCAGATGTTGCCCAAAGTACCCACGAGAAAGTCTTTTCTTCATTTTTGCTAGAGTGCGGAAAAGATACTGGGCTGGCACTCTCACATGATTGTTTTATAGTGTGCAGTGGCGACGCCAAGGAGCATTTCAAAGCTATCACAGAGTCCCAAATACGCAGTGATTGAAATAGTGACAGAACGGACACTATCGGCTTTCTTCAATGCATGTGTGTGCTTTTCTACCGCAATTTCATACTAAGCAAGAACTGACGGTTTCATTGAAACACAGAGTGGTCATCTAGACTCGGATCATCTTCTGGTTGCGTGCAGCGTGGCGCCCATAGAGTTAATATGCTACTCTAGAGGAAAAGCTCCCCGTAAGGCCATGATGGAATGATACTCAGCTTTCGGGTAGTCTCTCTTGCACTTGCCAGTGCATGCTGCAATCACCCCCTGGCATTTTTATGTTTCGTGGCTCTATGTTTCATCGCAGTTAGGCTGTCACAGAAAGTCGACTTGCTGGCTCATAGAAACAAAAAACGTGCATGATGAGACACTACAATTCACCCATTCACTAGCAGCTCAAGAGCCTTCGTTTTCAAATATTGATACGGTATGCGGATGGTGGTGCCATATAGTAACAAAACCTTGGAACGATTTTTATAGTGCACAACAATTTTATGCTAAATGGCATAGCGTCTTCCCTAAAAGTAGTTGATATGAAGATCACACTATTGCTATTCATTTATAATTCGTGAACACACTTGTTTATAATTATATTGCAAGAGTTTGAGTGTTTTAAACTGCTCTGTTTAGCAGTGCTTTAAAGTATTTGTAATGGCAACAATAACAACCTTGCAAGATGTCAGCGCTTTGGTGGTTAATAGCTTTTCCGGCCAAGCTCTCCCTCTAAAGTCTGCTATACAGTAAAATCTCATTAATACGAACTCAACAGGAACTCTAAAATTGTTTGAATTGAGCAGAGTTGTAATTAGCGAGTGGGTGCTAGAGAGAACAAACATTGTGCCACACTGCGTGGACAGATCCCACAAAATCCACCTCTAAACTCGCTATTGCGAACTAGGCGATACTACACATTTATGGCAGGTAAGTTCGTAAATTATGTTCATTGATCTGTAACAGCAAACGCAATTATTAGATCAGTCAGTCATACCAGCGGTGACTGGCATGCAATCATGTGAGTGGTGAGCCTTAATGTTTAAATCTATTTGTGCTCCAAAGCATGCTTACTTGCATGGCAGAGTCAAGGCAAGCAAGAATAAAAGTAGTTGGTAACTTGCATATGCTTGCACTTTATTATTCGTGGCGCCATGAGGATTTGTAGCTTGCCCAACAGCTCCAGCACAGCATCCAATTTTCACGTGCTGAGAAAAGCTGCTGTGTCGCTGTTTTGCATTTCAAGCATATTTTGTTTGATGTGCTGTAACACATTGTGATCACTCTACATGGGCCTGCGAGGAGCAATGAAAACCAGGTGCTCCCAGTTTGAATTGAGTGTTGTGGATACAGACTAATTCGAATTATCGGGAGTTTTCCCCATAGAAATATGCAGGGCTGTGCCAGGACCAGGGTGTTCGTTTGAATGAACCGTAAGTTCAAATAATCGAGCTCGTACTGGATTAGTTCTATGTCGGCGCCTGTGCGACTCACGCCTTCACTGCTGGACAGCTCGCTGTACCGTGCTCGCAGATATGCGATGTGAGCACAAATGAGCACAAATGAGCAGAGCAGTAAGTTTAATTAGCGTGGAGATAACAAACTTCCACCAACTGGAGTGCACCGCGATTATCTATTTCTCCGTTTCTCACATCAGGTGCAACGCTGCGGAGGCTAGCGGGACTGTTTGCAGTTGATGCGTTCACCTTAAGAAATAGTTCCAGGATTTTACCACCCTGAATATATCTTTCATTTTGTTTCAGCCTGAGTATTAAATCTGCATGTTTTGTATCGCACACACACATGCACACACATTTGTAAGTAGTAAGTCTGGTAAGTTCACTAGTACTGAATGTTTAGTAAAAAGTTACAATCATTGGAATTTTTTTTCATCAGAAATAGTTTTGATTTTTATTGACGATGATGTGTGACCCTAGAAAGCTGCTCCAGAACTAACTCACGTTGCTCCAAACTCACCTTCTGATGCTCTGAACCTGCTCCAAAACTGCCCTTTTACTGCACCCAAGCTGCTCCAAACAGTTTATTCCTTCTCCCTGAGCGGCTCCAAAACACTAAGGTTCACTTCCACCCCTGAGATGGTCATATATAATTAGGAGCTCCAGCAAGTGTACCCGTCAATGCCGGGGTGCTACTTTGGTGCGTTGTGTACATTGCCAATCACCCAAGAAGTGAATAAAGAAGTAAAAAAGTACCATCTCTCATCTGTGTGACACAGCTTTAGTGCAGCTCAGATTACCTAAGTAGGTGTTAAATTCATTATCTATTGCCTTGCTTGTGCTTCTATAGCTATTCTGTTTAGAGAACTTGAAAAAGTTGTCTCGGTACATGACTGCAATCATGATGGGAGGGCAACTTAAAAGATAAGTATAACTGAAAATGTCATAATTGTAAGATGATCTAGTGAATGTGTAAGTGTGGGAGGAATCAGTGAATGCTTTAGGTGATACATTATTCTTATTTGTGCCTATGCAGAACAGCATGCACAAGCCACAGGTAATCTGAATTGTTCAGCAAACTGGGAGTGTGGAGGAACCCACACAAGAAGCAAAGACGAAAACACAGCGCGAGTGCTCTTGTGTGTGTTCCCCTGCAGTCCCAGTTGGCTGAATGATTATGAACTACCAGCTAGCCCACCTTTTTATTCTGTTGCCACAGGTAATCTGATTGTGCTGTCCTGCTAAGGAGCGCATGACACTTTTGGGACATTCAGGCTGTGGTAGGTACAAATGAATGTTTTGGTTTGAGATGTATAACTCTCGCACTGTACCCTGCCAGATCAAGAAGTGCTTAGGGCTCTCTTGCTTATAATGTATGCCTGCCTGACGATGGCATTTAGGTTTCCTTGTAACCATTAAATGTGTTGTTGCAATGCTTGTAGGATGGAACTGTGAATGTTCACAGTGTGCGTGAGGGCCACTTCTTGCACACTCTTCGGCTTCCTGGTGACATGCCCGAGCAGGTGACACTGCTGTCTGTCTCACACCTGGGCTTCATCTGTGTTCACAGCTGCCCGGATCCTCAGGCACTCTTGGTCAGTGCTTATGCGTGAAGTTTTCACAGCGAGGGTTTTCTAGGCTCGTCTTCCTTAAAGAGAGAGTGAAGTGAACAAAAAAGCAGTTTAGATTGGCAATTTGTACTCTGGAAACGCCAACGTCGTTAAGTTCACCATCATATGTTTATTCAGAGAGGAGAGAGTCAAGGCCGAAACTTCATCTTAGGTGTCACGGTGCTCACAGAAGGAACAGAATTGCATCACGCAGTGCCTGTCTTGTCCCTTTTGTGAATCCACAGCAAGTCGCTGAATTTTCTATTCTAAGTCCAAGTCTCCACGTGTGGCGTCACGGATTCCAATTTGTATTTTTGATAGCTTTGCAACATTGGCAAAACAACATTTCTTAAAAGTTGGTATCTTGTAGGTTTGTGCGAATATTCAAATGGTTCGAATATTCGAACAAATAGTTGAGTGTTCGAATTCGCTTTGATTTGAATTTAAATATCGAAAATTATGAAGTATTCGCAATGAACTAATAAATTGTTAATCCGGATGTAACTGCCTGTAAAGGTGGTTTCACTGCAGTGTAGGGGTGATAAGCTTTGAAAGCGACTATTCAAGGGAAATTCGCTCTGCCGCGAAGCCCCCCTTCAAAATTTAAAGGGGCCCTGCAACATTTATTGAGCATAGTCAGAAAACGCTGCTGTTAGGTAGTCGAGGCAAATATTACAGTGCAGCACATGGCCTGCAATTCACAATAAATTTTCAGAGCTAAAAATTCCTCTTCTCTTGGCAAATGACACCAAGTTCAAAAATCACTTGTCACAGCCATTGGTTGATTTGAGCTTGGCGTGCTCATCATTACCGGGGCTGCCGCGAGAGGCCGCCGCTTGTCCACGAGTACGTGTGCGATAGCACTGAAAGGCCGCGTATTGGAATAAAAAAAATAAAGAGAGAGAAAAAAGTGCTCAAGGTCACGAGGCGTGCATGGTGTGGTAGGGGCGAAGCTCCTTAAGCCGTGGGCTTGTCCCTCCTAGCTCGTCATGGTTTGTGACCGCCCAGTTCGATGACTCACTCAGCAGGTGTGGATGGGCGGACAGACAGACAGACGGATGGACGAACGGATGCTTCGCCCCACTCATCAAGAATCACTCCATGGATATGCTGTGATTTTTTTTTCTTACTTTGTGACATCCCTCATTACTTAGCTTCCCGCTCTTTCGTTAGAACGAGAAGAGAGAATGCAATTGCAGCATGCGAAAAATTTTTAGAACACCATTCGTACTGGATTGACTCTAAAAATTTTGCGTCGGTAAACTTGTGAGGCAACAAGCATCTTTACTAGTTCTATGGCTACTTCATAAAGTGTTGCAGGGCCCCTTTAAATGAACATGTTACTGTCAAGTCCATTCATCATTTTATTAAGCTCAAAAGCTTCTTTGCTTGTACGCTCTAAGTATAATAAATTTATAAATAAATTTTAAAATGTTATGTATCTTACAGGCTATCACTCTCATCCTACTGAAACTCATATCCCGCTACTACTCAGGGTTGTTTCGACTTCCTTCGAAGGAAAAAAAAAAAAAGAGACATTTGCATATAGCCCCTATTTCAGTTAAAAAATATTGTGCAGGTTAGTTAGGTCATGATAAGTATTCCCATTTTTATATGTCATACATACAATTCAAATTTGATTTGAAGTTATTAAACCAAAATCATTATTTGCTTCGTATTCATTTTGACCTACAATTCACTATTCGCACAAGCCTAGTATTTTATGTCCCTCTCAGAGGACAGTGTACGTGGTCTTTTTTGATTATTAACTACATTGGACCTAGCAAATGTCGTAAACATCAATGATGTCACAGTGTGCGGGGCAGTAATTTCAAAATGGCATTGCCACCCGCATTTTCCTTTATTGTGCTATCTCACTTATTACCAATTGTATTTTGAACTAGTATTGTACCAATGTGAGAGAAGTCATTTGTCTCTTTATGTGCCCTAAGACCTAAAATAGAGTGGGAGCTGCTGTGTTGATATCTTAACTGAAAGTACTGAACAAGTACTCTATTATGCATTTGCACACATGCAAACAAGGTGAAGGCTCCTAAGACGGCCCTCAATCAAATACTGTTGTTTGGTGTGGTAAGAAATCTGCAGTCAAAATTTTTACTACAGACAGTGACTGGTTGTTTAAAGGCTTTTGTAAGGGTGTCTTGTCAATTGAAAGCGCTGGTTACCTTTGCAGTAAATACTATCCCCTACTTAACAAATATGTAATGCTCTATGTGGTGATAGGTTGTGAAGGATTCCTGACCGTGCATTTAAGTGCATTTGGAACCATGAAATGTAGCTTTCCCTTGCTTTTATAAGTTTCGATTCCCCAAATTTTATTCTGACACCAAGTTATTTAAAAGTACATTTTTCATAAATGAACTCTCATATTTAAAATTTCCTATTTTAATAGTACAAAGTATGGCTGTTATGTTTACATTGAGGATTTGGAGGATCAGTTGTGAACAGTAGCATTGCATAGGCACTTTTCTTAGTAATCTAGCATAGTGGAGCTGATTTTTTGGTACTGAATTTCAAGATATTTTTTCATATAAATTGGTTGTTTGCAGCTGTCTTCGCATATTGTGCAACCATCTTATAATGATTCCCGATATATAACAATCTATCGGCTATGACAAACGCGTATTCCGGTGCACTTACGATTTTCCTACTCTACCCTTTGAAACTCAGTCCACAGATAGAGAAAATTTTTCAAAGCCCTCTACTTTTACAACGAACACTTTGGACACGATTGTGGTAAAATATGGTGCACACGAAGCGAGAAAAAAATGTTAATAAAGTCATTCTAAAGCATATAGGTGTGCACTCGCGTGTGCTCCGCTCCAGTTTACATGCGACGATGATATCGTAGACCATGGCGAGCACCGCACGTAGATTTTGGACGTTGTGAGTGAGGACGCTCACTTTTAGATGTTTCTTCACTGGCAGAACAGAGGTGAGGAAAAAAAATCGAAAAGAAATAAAAGACAGCATAAAGACTAGCGCTTTCGCACGGCAAAATTTTCTCATGCCACTCTTGGCATCTACGACCATGTGACGATTAATAACAATGCCTTCGAATGCAAGAAGACATAAATGCGAGAAGCGATAACTTTTGTCGCATATAAGTTCACTGTGACGCTCAACTCTCCGACACCACAATGAGCCGCAAAAGATTTTCCACCTTTCGGTAACAGCAAAGACCAGTCAATTAGTGATAACGACTTCTGCGCGGTTGCAGCAGTGCCTGAACGGATATGCATCAGAAAAGAGTAGTGGGGAGGTGGCCGGTGGCGATGAACATGACATTGACTCATCGCCGCCAACCTTATGACAGTCACCTGCAGATAGCTGCTCGGCGAAGTGACGGCGGTACAAGCGCATCATGCTGCCTTTCGCAAGTTCGCCACCGCGTCGTGTGAGGCCGCTTGCGCGCATTGCTTGCAAAATTCTTCTTTGTGTTAAAGAACGCCGCATCCTGAGCACAATCTCGAGTGAAGCATGCGTGATGAAAGCACGGACGCACGCATACGTTAGACTCCAAGCGAACTGGCATGCGACAATGAGAGCCGAGTAAGCAACGTGCCGCACGCAACTAGCCAGGGATGTTTAGTTCGACGTGGCGGTACCGCACTTCAGTAGAACCACAGTGGAAGAGCGTGAGTTTATCGTGAACAAGGTTGAATTCACCCGTGAGCAAACAGACGTCGTTTGCTCACGCGAAACACGCGAAAAAGCCTAACTTGTCAGCAGAAGAGTTGTTTGCACTGATAAATAAAAATGCACGGGAAAAAAAGGTTTGGCCACTAAGGGAACATTTTTATGGGCAGGTTTGTATACAACAAACTACTAATATAACCATCATTTATGCTGCCACTTTTGAGTTCGTTATAAACTGGTTCGATGGGGGAACACAGGAAGCGATGACTGCTACCCAGCCCTCAAGGATTAGGCCACAAGTTGGGTCCATATATCCATAAGCTCCTGCACAATTTCAAGAAAGTTGTGGGCAGGCACGGTGTACCGATAGTGTTTTCGGCACCCGAGAAAATCGGGAAATTGTGCCAATGTATTTGCGATAGCAACAAACACGGCTGCGAGAAGAAGCATGAGAGGCACTTTGTTAAATGTTCCATGGGGTTCGTGTACCCCTATACTGCAGCAAGGTGAACATCGGTCGAACCGAAATATATATTAATGACCGGTTAAGGGAACACACCCAAAAATTAACAAAGCCAGATACAAGCATGCACATCTGGTCGCGCATGTCATTTTGTGTGGTTGTGACGCACAATTCTCTGAGACAAAGATTCTAAGCAGAAGCGCAAGAAAAACTACACAACAAGTGTTAGAGGCCTTTTTCATTGAAAAAAATAAGGATCACAGTGTAAATGCCTCTTTACTATCTTTGTTTTCAAGTCAATCTCAGTTTATTGGTTGTAGACTTTGAGAGGGTAAACTGCATGTCTTGATAGTGTATGGTGTTGGCCTTCTATGATGTTAATGCACACATGTGCCCCATGTATATATTGCTACGATACTGAGGATACTACGATATTGCTACGATACCGTAACAATATTAAAGCTTTCGTGCTATGAATAAATCAGTTAGAAGTGAGCGCTGTGTGTGTTTGATGCCTGGGTGTGTGTGTGTGTGCGCGAATGTCGTGTGTTTGTGCTGAAATAAATGTTCTACCAACTAGCCCAACAACAAGCTCTTTTACAATGTATTTACTTGTTTTACTGCTTAGAAGACACCTTTTGCTGCTAGTAATACAATGAACTTCAATTATACATCTCCCGGTTTCGCGACGACCTGCATTTTACGACGAATCAGTTAGGTCCTGGCAAAATCTCCACAGAAGCAATGTATTAAAAACCTTGGTTATACGACACATTTTTACGCTGACCCCGCATCTTATGGCGACTTTCAGATTCTGTCGGAAAGAAAAAAACACCTTTACTCAAATCACATGTCGACCAAATATTCACTAGTGCAAAGCATGAACTTGTGTACCCTAACAAGGACTACAGGAAAATATGGATCATCTTCATCGAATGGAAAATTTATTCTCCCGAAAGTTCATGCACTTCTACATACGGCTAAATTGCGTGCATACGTATCTGGGGTCGTTACCTAGTCAAGCTCCATCCACATAGAGTAGGTTCAGCTGACCAAAAAACTCATATTTTCACATTTTCGGTCCATGGGAACATTTCCTGGTCGACATCGGCTGGAGCTGGTCTCCGGCCTTTGTCACATTCACAGTAACTGGTTTGTGCACGCATAAGGGCACGACGCAGCTGCTTTCACCGTGCAAAATTTCACCATGCTTTCACCGCTTTCACCGTGCACTTGACATAAACATTCATAACAACAGCAGGACACCACTATATGTATTTGCACTTCACGAGGCAGCAAATTACAACGTAGACAGCTCAGTCGCGCATATGTATTTGCACTTCACGAGGCAGCAAATTACAACGTAGACAGCTCAGTCGCGCACTAACACATCGCACATAAACTCGTTGTCCGTCGCCATTATGTGATAGCGATGACACTACGTCTGACTCTTTTGATGGGAGGCTTACGGCAACACAATTTCGGTTTCATTTTCACGCTCAAGCAATTTTCGGACTTCATTTATCGTTAGAAAGATGCGCATTTGATTTGATTGTTTTTAAGGCTGAGAATAAAGATTCACTTGGACCTCCTTCAACTAATTGTTGCTGCCGTTAACTACCACTGGCAACAATAATTTAATCTACCTTTATTGCAGAGGCAGAAGGTCGTGCTGTAGGCTCATTCAGGCCGTCTGTACCCGCCTTTTGGGCAAGGCTGAGTGCCGCGGTCTATAATTTTAGTTTTTCAATTATACGACGTCTGGGTTGTACGACAATTTTGCGTGGTCCCCTAAAAGTTGTATAATCCGGGTTCCATTGTATGTCTACATACGTCATACAATACTATGTTCTTGATGTTACGACATTTGCATTTTTCACCTGTTCTTTCAGAAATCTGGTTACGTGCTCCATCTATACACGATCAATGGAAAGTATCTCCTGAGGAAAGAGGTGGCAAGGGCCATTTCAGATATGATCATATGTGATGATTATCTTATCACGGGTGATGAAGAAGGACTAGCTCGTCATCTACGAACTGTTTGGGTAGGTCATCTCATCTTTCTCCTGTGTCTTTTACTCTGATGAACTGTTAAAAGTTGACTGATTCTCCGATAAGATGAACTTCTTGGCTGGTTGATTGAACATTTTGAATCGGGAAACAGTATGGTAAAAAAAAGGCAAACTTGTGGAACTTTGGGTGGTACGTTGACCTGCTTCATCTTTGTTTTTACTGTGCTGTTTTACGATTCAAGATAACTTCTCCACACACAAATAATGTAACCCTGCCTTGAGATTGGCTCAATGTGGTGCCATTATGAGTACAAGGTATAACAAGATAATTGTTACGTAGACAACATAGACCCCATTTTTCAGCACTTTATTCTTGCATTTCACATTATTTGTAAATATATTGGTCAGATATTTTGATAGAGGTAAGGTAAGGTTGCAAGGAATTAGCAATGATTTTACATTTCTCAGGTTAATGTTTTGTATTGTGCAGAGTTGTACAAGCTTTATCTCCACCATATTTTCTACGAAGGCCAAACTAAGGATCTAACAGGCTAATTTATCCACAAGTGATAGAGTAGCACGCAGGATAACTTTCACTTCTCTTTCTTAAACTTTTCTATGCTACAGAAGTGAGTGGCATATTTCACAGTACTATTTTTAAAGTGATAGCTCGCACATGCAGAAAAAAAGGCCCCGCGTCTCATTGTACGCAGGTCGTTACTCTCATGTCACTAAATACTACTCAAATCTTCATTTTAGTTTTGCACTACATGTCAGTGTGCGCTCGTTGAAAGTATTTCACTGGGATATTGTTCACGTACAGCTGGCATGGTAGTTAAATTCAACATTAAGTGTGAAAATGCATTTCTGATGGTGCTTTTCTTGGCTTCAGAGCTTAGTGCACATTTGTAAATGTTATGGTGAAACCTTGGTAAGACATGCCTGCCAAGCAGGCGTACCAAGTGGCAATACAATACAGGCGTACCAAATGGTAATGTGCATTAACCAGCAAGTACAAATTCGCATCCCTTGACGTGTGCCATTGCTGCCAACAAATAAACAAATACTGTGGCACAGCAAATACAGTGAAAGCTCGTTAATTCACACCTCATTAATTCGAAATTTCGGATAATTCGAAATGGTCGCCGCAGTCCGGTCCGCAGTGCATAGGAGACCATGTGTAAAACGATTCGTTAATTCAAACAGAAATTGCTGCCTCTACGGATAATTTGAAGCGCGCGCCACCGAGCGTCATCATCGTCAAACACTAGTGGAAGCTTTTACGGTCGAACGATAGGTGGCACGACCAGTTTTTTCGAGCTTCAAGTGGCCTCCGATAAAGGGCGAGCAAAGTATGGCCTCCAAAATCCAGGGAGCAATTTATTTTTTCCGTAGCCCTCCCGCTATCTCAGCGCCTGGCGCCACTTGTACGCGGGGCCCACGGGACGCTGAGGAGTCGGCGGAGTAGTCCTAGCAGTCCTAGGCCGCTCCCGGCAGCGTCACTTTGTTCCTCGAGCACGTTCGTTCACGCCGTCAAGCCGTCTTATTCCGCTTCGAAGTTGCAAGATGCCGCGGGGAAACTACTGCGCGAAGACTGTCAAGGAGAAGGTGGAGATTTTGCGAGAGGTTGACCAAGGGAACTCGAGCAAATACGAAATTTCGAGGAAGCACGGCATACCTCCGAGCACGTTGTCAACCTACATTTGCAACAGGACGGCCATTGAAAACGCCTATGAAGCTGATGATTTTGGCGCCAGTCGAAAAAGGCTAAGGACAGCGAAGTTCCCGGAACTGGAGTCAGCTTTGATTATCTGGGTTAAAGAAATGAGAGCCCAGAGTATCGCATTGAGCGGCCCTATCATCATGGCCAAGGCAGCCGATTTCGCCCTGCGCTTGGACATTCAAGACTTTGTCGCCTCCGAGGGATGGTTTCATCGTTTCAGGGAGCGGCACAATCTCGTATTCCGCACGTTATCCGGCGAGGCAAAGGAAGTGGACGCCGATACATGCGCTACTTGGAGAAGCGACACCCTGCAGCAGTACTTGGAGAGCTACTCACCACAGGATGTGTTTAACGCTGACGAGACAGCGTTATTTTTCAAGTTGCAGCCAGACAAGACGATCACCTACAAGGGAGACAGCTCTGCCGGCGGCAAGCGCAGCAAAGGGCGTGTCACTGTTCTGGTCACCGCAAATATGACCGGTACGGAAAAGGTCCCCCTTTTTGTGATTGGAAAAGCACTCAAGCCACGGTGCTTCAAAAACATTCGCTCACTGTTGACGGAGTACGCCGCAAACAAGAAAGCCTGGATGACAGGTGACCTATTCAGGAAGTGGCTACTGAAATTCGACAGGCGAATGGAACTGGGCGGCAGACGCGTTCTTCTTGTCGTCGACAACTGTTCGGCGCACAAAGTCGACGTTGAGCTGAGAGCAACTAAGTTGGTGTCCCTTCCAGCAAATACGACTGCGGCCTTACAGCCAATGGATCAGGGTGTGATAAGGAACATTAAGTGCTTTTATAGGCGTCACGTGCTGGAGAGAATGATTTTGTGCGCAGGCGACAGGAAGGACTTCGGCATTACGCTGCTCACTGCCATGCACATGTTGGTGCGCGCATGGGAACAAGCGACCGCGACCACAATCGCAAACTGTTTCTGCCACAGTGGATTTGCAGCTGGAAGTGCGCAGGATAGTTGTGACGTCGACGTGGATGGGGCTGAGGAGCTCATGCCAGTGGCATTGCGCGACACTCTTCGGGGCGTACGTTTTGCCGATTATGTTGAAGTTGACACCGGTGCATCGGTGTGTGGTGCCCTGACTGATGAGGACATTATCGCTCAAGTAGCCGGTGCGCAGCCTGATGCTGAAGAGCCAGAAGGTGAGGAAGACGAAAATGACGAAGCGCCTGTGCGCCCGTCAGCTTCTGCGGTGATGGAGGCACTTAATGTGGCGCGTCTCTTCTTCAGCTTTGAAGAGGGTGAAGAGGATTCCCTGCGCCGCGTCCGCGCGCTGGAACAGAGAGCCGCAGCTGTGGCATTCAGAGAAAAGAAGCAGATGGTCATCACCGACTTTTTTGGCCAATAAATATTTTACGTGACCCCACCCCCGAAATCCACCCATTTTTGCTCACTTTCATTATTTCGAATTTTGTTTAATTCGAAATTGCTCAGCGTTCCCGTGGAATTCGAATTAACGAGCTTTTACTGTATTGCCTCAAGTGCCCACCAGTGATGCTACCGCTGTGCCAATTACACCAAGCTGCACCTAAGTTCTCTGGCTGCTACATCCTGCTACATCTCTTAAAAGTTTGGCAAGTCTGAGCCAAATTAAACTGAGCAGAAGGTCGCTGTTGCAATACGGTCAATGTCCGATTTCACTGACTATTTAGGGACCTCGAAATCATCCGAAAAGATGAATTTACGTTGTTTTTATCCTGCTCATGCAGTCAGCTGCTCACAGCCATGACCGAAATAGTTTAAATGCCTCCCAGTAGACTTATCAGCCATTTTGGTGCACGGCCAGACCCTCGTAGATGCATTTGGGACTTGTCGCAAACCCCCTAACCACGTACCAGCAACCAGTTGCAAATTGGCATCTCATGATGAGTGCTGCCGATATCAGCAAAGCATCGATTAAATTATATGGCTGTCACGCGTCGAGTGTTTGCAAACGATGGCTCGGCAAACAAAGAGAGAAAAGCGGGCTCGTTCGTATTGTTAGGACTTCTCTGATGCATGTCTGCCAGTTAACGATGCAAAATTTCGGCCGACAAGCAGCATTTTCTGGTGCAAGAAGCCGATCCTTTCCAGTTGTGTGCAGAACATTGCAAGCTCAGTTTGCCCAGTTACTACTGGGGCGCTTGCTGTGCTGTACGTTCGCTTTTGTCAAAAAGTGTTCTTCGATGTCAACTCTGTGACAGCACACAAAATTGCGATGACGACCTGTTTTCGTTATTAGTGAATCGGTGTTGAACAAAGAGGCAGCATGAACTGTGGCGCAGCACTTTTGGGTTATCGCCTATTAAAAACGTGCAGTACGCTTACAGCTGGGCCAGGGCACATTCACTACCGAGCAGTTAACTGAAGATGCTTGATACAAAGGCATGTTCGCTGTTAACTCGTACTAGCGTGTTTCCTGTGTTGCCACCGTCTCGCCTCTGTGCGACTCCAGTGCATATCAGTAAAGACATCGCGCCACTGTGATGTGATGGTGGCGCCTTTTGGTTTTCGGTCTGCTTCTCCCCTTACCATTTAAGCATGGTGACAAAGCTAACTTTTAGACATTGCTGTGGTGGCAAGAAAGTGCCAATTCGAGTCCATCAAATGGTAGACGTTGCAGAAGCGAGGCTTTGAGTAATTATGTTTCAGACCTGGCATGTGAGTGGCAGTCCAAAAAATTGGGCACCGAAGAGTTTTGGCATCCGAAACTGCAGACGTTCTTTTACATTGGCGTGTATGGGGCTTGCAACTGTGCCGCAAAAGCATCTGAATTTTTAAGCATGGCTGAAAACTTCAGCTTCCAGAAAATCGTCACTTGTCCATATTTGCAAATATTTACCGTAATTACTTGAATCTAACGCGCACCTTTTTTCCGGTTAAGCGAGTTCATAAGTCGCATGCGCGTTAGAATCGAGTATGAAAAAACAAATGAATATGGTCATTCTATTGCCATCGGCACTTCCAAAATGGCCGCCCCCTACGTGCGTCGGCATGGCGCGTCGGCCATTTCTGCCTATGTGTTTCCCATGTGCGGCACTTCGTACGTGTGCTGAGGAGTTCGTCATCTTGTAGTACATTAGCATCGACGGCATGGTAGGGCCGACTCCAAAAACTCAACGAGTGTACCACAATGCTGCTTTTAAAAGAAAAGTCATCGCGGTCGTTCGGAGTTCCCGAAACGTGGGTGCGGGACTGGTGGAAACAAAAGCAGAATATTGTCGACAGCAAAGATTCACGCAAAGGCTTCAGTGGACCACAGCAGGGTCGGTTTCCACAAATTGAAGAGCTGCTCGGCGAGTATGTGATTAAGCA